CGGACTCCCCAAGGGCTCTGGGGCGCCCCCAGCCCGCCCTGTCCCCAGGGCCGGGCCCGAGCGGCGGCTGCGCCCGTGCAAGTCCCATCAGGTCTGCTCACACTTCACACACTCACCCACATACCCCGCCCCTCCACTCTCTCACTCACACTTTCTGCTCACACCCCGCCCCCTTCTCGCCCCAGACCCGGGCGGTGCCCCCCGTAACCTTTTTTTTTTTTTAAAAGCTAGCTTATACTTAAAAAAATCTTTTGGCGCCATATTAATGACGTACTTAAAATTTGCCATTTCTCCCTGCGTCAAAAAGACGTTTCTTTGCAAATAGCCTGAAGGCGACACTCGCGGAGGGAACGAGGTTTGCACGGAGCACCCCGCCTCCCGGGGCTCCAGCGCTGGGAGACCCTCGCCCTAGGCCCTGCTCTTGAATCGCTGGTTTAAAATGCGAATCAAATAAATCGCGTGGCGTTTCACAGCGCCAGAAGTGAGCAGAAAGTGCTGGCAGGAGCGGAGGGGAGGGGCGCGCGCGAGTCTGGGGGAGGGGGCGCGGCCCTCCTCCCCCACCCACAGCAGATGGAAACTAACATCCCGGGCGGGGGAAACTTGAAATTGTGGGCGACCTCAAGGAAGGAGGGGCGGTCCATGGAGGGTCCCTTTTGGGTTCATCGCCCCCTCCTCCCGCCCGGGTGCCTCCTGGCACCCAGCTCTGCCCCGCATTTCCGGGGGGTGGGGAACATAGTGATGGGTGGGTGGGTGGCTGGCTGCTCGTCGGGGCCCCAGAGGAGTTTGCCCCGGGGTATCCCCTTCCCCTTGCTTGTCCTTCCCACTTCCCATAAAGGGTTAAAAACGGAGGGGCAACTTCCAAGGGCTGGCATTTGGCGAGGAAGCTGGGCGCCCCTCTCCCCACCCTTCGCCTCCTCGCCCCTCCTCCTCCGGCTCCACTTCCCGACTTGACCTTGTGGTGCACAAACAGTGCGCTCTGATCCTCGCAGTTTCTGGAAGAAGAGCTTGCGCTCGCCAGGCGGGCGGACTGTGGGGAGGCTCGCGAGCGGTGGCGGGGCCTTGGGTTCGTTCCCGGAGCCGCGGGCCACACCCACTCAACCCGTTGTGCCCGCCGCTCTCACCTTCTCTCGAGGAAGGCGCGGGGCTGGCCTCCTGGATGGGGAGGAGTGAGAGGCGAGCTGCAGTCTTGTCAGGATGCTCCCAGCTGGGGAGGAGGTGGTCTGGGCTCAGGCGGGGTTTGGGGAGGGGGACCTGGGAGCCTGACCCAACATCCCAAGAGCATCATGGCCAACTTTTTCTTACCCCTACCTTTTGGCTGCCCCTCAAAGATGATCCAACAATTTTTTTTTTCTTTCAACCCACCTTTAGCTTTGAAGGCACATGGGTGAACTATGAACTGGGGCCAGGAACCACCTTCCCTCTCCAGGACTGAAGTTTGTTTATTCTTTCTTTCCCCTCTGTCCCCTTACATGGGAAGATAAATATTCAATTTACATAAGGTGACATTTATGTCACAATTAAGATTCCCCAATGGAATGTTGTGAACACATTTCCTATAGGAGAAATAAATCTAATAATAAACAAACTCACAACAGCACAAATCTTCTGACAGGATTGATTGTCTACACAGCAAAGAAGGAGATGATGGATGCTGAAACAAGCACTTTTGCAACAAGAAAGAAATAGGAGCTCAGGGAAGTCAGTTCTACATTTCTCTTCCTGGCCTTCACTCACAAAGCCTGGGGAGGCTTGTCTGGCAAGACTGAGGGGCTGGGTTTCATCTCTCACTTGGACCTGGCTCTGGCTCTTACTGGTCAGTTGGAAGGATGTGCCCAAGCCCAAGCTCAGTGCCTGGAGACAGTGGCAGGCTGTGAGCATGTAACCAAATGGGTAAATACTTGGGTTCTAATCCTGACCCTTCAGTTCAGAAGCTGTTCGATGTAGGCAAGTGAATTTCTCTCCCTGGTTCTCTTTTCCCTCTTCTGTGGAATGGAGTTGGAGGGTTCCTAAGGCCGTGTGTACACATATACATACATGGATAGATGCGTGTATACATGCTATATGTGTAGAGCAAGGCCTGGCTCAGAGTATACCGTGCACCTTAGCACTTTCCCTGGTGCCTACATTTTAGAAGGGTGAATGTGCCCCCTGAAAGCTCTTAACGCTGAAAAACTGGGGGACAGTGATTTGTGTCTTACCCACTGTGAGGACATATACAAGATCTCCCAGGCTGGGCAAAAGGGAAAGCCAGGAGAAGAAACTGTGATAGATGGTGGGCTTCCTGGTCAAGGTCCAGATGTCAGCCTCAGCCACACATCTGAGGTGGGAGTGAAGGCACCAGTTTACAGTGGCACAGTCCAAGGGGACTGCTCCGGATAGGTCTAATTGCAGAGGGCTTACATGCAGGAGAGGACTGGACAGGCTCCTCTTAGCTATCATGATCCCAAGAACCTTGGCAAGCAGTTAAGAAATGACCTAGAGCGATGAAAGAAGGAGGGAATTACCATTTACACCGTATCCGCTCTGTGCTGCTCACTGTGAGAGCCATCCCGTTTCATCCTCACAAAAACCCATTTTGCCTATTCGGAAAAGTTTAGTAACTTATCAACAGTCATACAGCTAGCAGGTGGTAGTAGAATTGGCACCTAGTCCAACTGACCTTGAAACCTATGTGTTTTCCATTTTACCGCACTGCCAGAAATAAAAAGTATTAGTGTTGTTGGTTTGATTGCAGATGGGGGCCTGATTGCTGCATAGTAGGTAAGAAGGAATTTGATGGGCAGCACTTTGATTCTGAGGTGATTCCCTGAGTTTGGGTATGACCCATATCCCCTAAAAAGTCCTTGGAAGATACTTCTTGTTTAGGACTGGAAGCTCCTTCCGAATCCTTGGGTTCCTACAGCTCTCTGCTACTGTTTAAGGTTAACCTTGGAAATGTTAACAGAATGATAGCCATAAAGCTAATTATAACTCTAATGTTTATTAAAAGTCTCACAAATCATGAGCTTTTTACAGAAAAAAAAAAGAGAACATAAGAGTTCCTAGAGATATAATCACTCATTTTTTTCCAACAAATATTTATTGAGTGCTCCCTGTATGCCAGGTACCATTCTGGCTGCTGGGGACACAGCACAAACACGACAGACAAAATCCCTACTCTCATAGAACTCACTTTCTAGTGGAAGGAAGTGCACAGATTTTTTGGAAAGCAAAAAAATTATATATTTGAAGGTAAGTGCTAGGGAGAAAGGAGAGTAAGGGAATGTGGGGGTGCAATTTAAATAGAGTCCTCAGGGAAGAGCTCACTGGGAAGGTGGCTTCTGAGCAAAAGAAGGTGAAGAAGTGAGCTGTGAGGGTCTATGGGGAAGGAGCATTCGAAACCTGGGGTTCTTAACCTGGAGTCCACACATACCCACCTCCAGAGGTCTGTGGGTAGAATTCAGGGGGTCTTGATCTTAGAATGGAAAAATATACATATATCTTTATTTTCACTAGTTAAAATTCAGCGTGTTCTTCAATTATGAATGCAGACAGCAAATCACAGTGATAGTAGCAGCACCTGTGACATTGTTGCTAGTAGAAATCACAGGTATTTTCATATCACGTTCTAGTTGTTGGAGATATCTTAAAATATCATTATACTCATCACTACAAAACGCTGCTAGCTCTTGTAATTTAATGAGCTAACAAGAAACATATATTACTATATTACACATTTAAAAATATTTTGAGATTTGTATTTCACTGTAATTCGTTTTCTCTATTATTTATGTAACTTATTTTATGGGTTTGAAGATATACTCAGAAGAAGTCCACAAACATCACAGACTCCCAAAGGAGTCCATGGCTCAAAATAAAAGGTTGAGAGCCATCGTGTCTACTTAGAGACCAACAAGTGCAAAGGCACTGAGGCAAGAATGTACTTAATATGTATCTGTACAAAGAAGAGTTACACAGGGCATTATTAGAAATTCGGCTTTTGCTAGGAACAATGTGGAGAGCTTTGAGCAGAAGAGCGGCATGATCTGGCACCAGATTTTATCGTTAACTCTGCTGCTAGATGGAAGACAGGCTGAAGGAGGAAAAGGTGAAGCAGGAAGACCAGTTAGGAGGTCATTGAAATAAACCAGGGAAGAGCTAATGCTAACTTGGACTACAGTGGCAGCAATGGAAGTGGCCAAATCCTGTAAATATTTGAAGAGAGCTCTGACAGGATTTGTTGATGGGATGTGAGAAAACAAGAAGTCAAGGATGAA